TAATGCGCGAGTAGATACTTTATTATATTTTCATTAATAGTTGAATAAAAATACTACAAAGAGAGCCTTTGGCTATTGCAGGTAAATACATCTCCGCACGCAAAGCTAAAGTCAATGACTGTGTAATAGGCTATTCACCGGCATAAAGTAACTTGTATTTAAACGGTCAACAGCGAAGAAGTCGTTTCTCCGTCTGTCAGCGAAAGGAAGGAAAGTGTTAGCAATTTTACAAATCGGAGATTGCAACGCGGTCCTTCGTAATTTCGCGGTGCGATTCGTTTTGAGACGGTTAACGCAGTGACAATCGCCGGATGAAAAAGATGTGGGAAAAGAAGAAATCGAGAGAAATCTGAGAAGAGAAAAAGAGCCGTAATAACTTTTTTTCCTCGCGATTATTATTAAAATTCCTTTTCTGATGACACGGACAACAGTGAAACGTCTGTCGTTGTATCGTCGCGAGATTGCATCGTCATGTTGATTACGCAAAATTAAAAAGACGGCGATCATGATGCGCTCGTAAGAAGGGTACGAGCAGATTGAAAGCGTACATTCGTTACGTCAAAGAATATCTCCCAGAAGCCGTGAACTGTCTACGAATAATTGAGATACGGAATTGAACCGGGAAACTAGATTGAGAATTTGTGTAATAGCCCATTTGCTACGGTAATGTAATTTGTGGCTGAACGTGTAAGAGAAATTACGCTCTCGTTTTTCTTTTTACGCGCGCATAAAATGATCCGCGCAGCGTGTAAATTATTGGTACTAACGAGTGTCTCCTTTAATTCCGCAGGCCACTTACTCGCGGGGTATTCATGTCCGGCGATCTGCTCGATAGCAGATGAAAGATAGAAGAATAAGTAAGAACGGTAATTATTTTGATATGCCCCTTGATATCGTGATCTTATATCGTGATTCTCAATGTGACCATTTCAGTCACAATACCTTCATTTTCATTATTTATACTTGTGAGTGTACTTATAAAGAAATATTTAAATCTTATTTTGCAAATAATTTTAAAATAGAGAAAAAAGAAGAAATAATATTCAATAATTAAAATGAATACAATAAATATATGTCAAATATTATGTAATTGATACGTTATTTTCACTATGAAAAAAAGCCAGGGCGAAAAATCGAAACAGTAGATTTCTCGACAACCGCGAAGTAATTTACAACAAATTATAACAACCGCATTATAGTAATTGCCAATTAAGGTTTTGCAGCGCAATATATTCCGTATAATGACATTGAGTGTAAGAAGTTAAAATTAGCACCCCGAGGGTCCGCATAATCCACGAAATACCCGCCAGGCCTACTAGAGACGCGGATGCGAAACGTCAAACGGCCAGTAGCTGATTCATTTAACGTCGCGCGGACGATCCGCCAATAATGGGGATTGCGAGCGCGAGCACGCAACGACGCGAGTGCAGAACTAGTTTCAAGAATTCCTTAATGGGACACCTGCCGCTATAATCTAAACCATTCGCCACTGAGCGTAGTCGAGCGCGTTCCTGCTCTAATTCGACATGCGAGAGAAATAACAGGGACGATATAACTAGTCCGATCCGCGTGCGCCAGTAAAATATGTCCGATAAAGCGGCAACAAACCGAATTTGTTCAGCAGTTCGAGATAATATTTGTTCGATTTTTCAAGGTGCAACATTTTATAATCTTCGCCATTTATGTTACACAAATATAGCGTAAGTAAAAACTGTGCTCGATATCTTGACGTTTAATTTTTGATATAATTATATATGCATTTTATGTGCAACATTTAATAAAACGGTCAATGACATCCTTAAGGGGTATACCCGTTTAAACCTTCGAAAAATGAATACATTTTCTAGATTTTTTGCAGCGCAACGATTTGATAAAAATTTTTAATTTTTTTACAATATTAATACAATATTATCAACTACTTAAATAAAAATTTTGAGCCTAAAAAAAATTTTTTTTTAGAAGTTATGCGAGTAATTGCAGATATTTTCATGCACGGTGTGCTACGTTCGACGGATTGACTTTCAATTTTCCATGCGAGTTCTTAATAAGATTCCGCATTTGCTAACAAAGTCTTTTTTTAATTCGATTTCCCATTTTTTTTTGTTAACAATAAACAAAAAAGATGGACTTCTTTCCCAAAAAAACAAAATTTTTTTCAACACGCCGCCATTTCTTTATTTTTGAAAATTTTGAAAAAATGCTTGGATAGCAGATAGCTATTAATATGTTTAACAAAAAAAAGCTTGTATTTTTTATTTCGGATACGATCAACAAACGTTTTCATGCACACCATGCAGTCACTTAAAATTTGGAGAAGCTCTACAAATATTCCCATAACTTTAAAAAAAATTTTTTTTAAGCTAAAAATTTTTATTTAACTAGTTGATAATATTGTATTAATATTGTAAAAAAATTGAAGATTTTTATCAAGTCGTTGCTCTGCAAATAGTCTAGAAAATGTACTCATTTTTGAAGTTTCAAACGGGTATGCCTCCTTACTGTAGATATAAATATTACCTTCATGTTGATGTCTATATTGTTTTCGCGTGAAAATTATTTACATTATCATTTCGACATCTTTTAAGCCCCTCACGTCCCTTTTCTATTTAAACCTATCAAACATCCAAAAACATATTGATCTGATCTTGCGGTTTGAACGAGATTCCGCTAGAGTCCCGCCGCAAAATTCGTCTCGGTCCGGCAACTACGAATAACCGAATCCTTTTTCTCCTCTCGCATTTCGCGATATTCCGTTTCACCTGCCGAAAATGGCGCAGATGGGTCGGCGAGGGGTATAAACGTCGGCCGACATCTTAGGCATTCTCCTAGGCATTTGCTAGTTTAGGTTTTTGCCGGTCTCCAGACAGACCCGGTGAAATCGGTGTATCTCCTAATACCTTCTTCGGGCAGGGATCACCTGCCGCTTCCTCGTTCGTCCTTGGATAATTGCGCCTGTCAGGACGCATGGTTCGTCGCGTTGGCAGGCAGATCCCACAATATGGTCAAAATTTATCGGGTTAGACCTGGTCGAAATGCGCAGCAAGTTTGAACATTCTCTCAATAGAGAGAAAAACCAAGAAACGTGATTTCACGAACTACGGAGATACCGTATAACGCGAAACTGGCCTCATATATGTATCTTAAATTTTAAATTAGCTCTTTTTATAGTTCACGCGAGTTTAATGGTTATGCGGATAAAAATGGCTAATTAAATAACTTCAAACAAATTCAAAACTTCTTGCAGTGGAATGCCGTAATGTAGCACCTGGATTGCAATTAAAGCACGTGTCTTTTAAATCGACTGATACAGATCATCAGGATAATTCGGCAATTATATTTAATTATCGAGGATATTGACGCTTACGTAAGATTGCTAATTAATAAAAATGAAAACACGCAAATTGAGCGAAATTTTTCGCCGCGGGACACATTATACGGCGCGCAACCTGTTCCACGATGCTCAAGTTTTACCGCGCAAATATAAAAATCTGAAACTGGAGAGATTACTTATTCGGTAATATAACTTAACGAGACTCTCTTAAACTCTTCGTTAAGTTTTATTATCTGTATATAAAATAAGGGGCAATGAGTGTTTTATCATCGGAATGTACTTATTAATTTCCAACAAATGAGTTAAGAATTATAATGATAACAAAATTTAAGAAAATTAGAGACTTTAATAATTTGCTACACGAATTTATAGTATTATGATATTTATAATATAGTTTTTCCCAAATCATCTGTATATATACCGCATCGCATTCTCCTTTCGCATAATCCATATATTATAATCTTCAATGATTTTTTGAAAAAAAAAAAATTGACAAAAAAATAGGTTTCAAAGAATGATAAAATACAAGGAAGGCAAGAACTGTCGATCTAACGTCTACGCGCGAACCCGTCTGAAAGAAACATTTACGCTTCTTTCTTTGAAGCAATCTAATCTGGCTCGAGATTTCCTCTCAAGATCGTACTAAGCTTCTTCCGCGAATTCGCCGCAGCGATTAACCGCTGCGTTACTTTTTCACCAGCGTCATGCCGGTGTCCACCTGCGAATGACACGATCTGTTACGAAGAGGCGCGGCGGAATCTCTCCTTCTTCCCTCCTTTCCTCTACCATCTCTTTCGCTTTTGCTGGTCGCCATACGGCGTGCGGTTACACCGAGAGGATGGGAGAAAAGGAGAGATTTAAAATCTCGGACGGGCGGTCGGTGTGGCGGTACCGTTATTTCGCAGCATGAAGCGCGTGCCCGGCGTCAGCACGATCTCCGGCTGGTCCTGGTTCTCGGTTAATCCCGTGGGACACCGCCTCAACCGAGATTACAAAAGATCTCGGCGATGAACCCCCGCGTCGAGGAACGATCGGGAAAGCCGACGCAGGCGTATTTCGCAAAGCGAGACCACCTGTTGGGGAGAGAGCGCGTATTTATCGATCACGTTTTCCCGAAACGTGAGTTGCGGTATTTTCGGAGGATTTGCGGCGAGCCTGCATTACGAAACGCACGCATCGACGGATATTTCGCGGTTGCGCTGATGTATGTCTTACGGCGGTCACTTGAGTAATGAAATAAAACGCCACGTTTCTCGTGCCGATTGTACTAACAAAGCAGTTTCGCGGTTATAGAAATATTTACCCATCATAATCACTCATCGCGACCTAAAACCATATATTATTAGATGCTTACGACGTGTGTGTCACATAATAAATCTCTTCGCGGAAAAAAGAAACGTTTCGATTGATTAGCGTAAGCTTGTCACGGCATAACGAAATATTCTCTGGCTTTAGTAACATTCTCGCTCCTGTCACGATTAATTATTGACCTTTGGACACTAGTTTCTATTAATTAGTTGCGATATTGGAAATCATCTCGCGTTTAGAATTTAAAAAAAAACTACTTATTCCGTATCAAATTGAATTGTAATATCTATTAACTGTGTATTATTTGTATGTGTTGTATGTATATATTTATTCGACACAAAAATTATATAGTTGTACTCACGTGCAAGAAGAATCCCTCCGCCTCACATTTCGGTATAAGAGCGCAAACTTGTTCGCATTGTGAGATCGCAAACGTTTCATTACGGGAATGGGCGTCGATAATCGGAATATTCAGTATCATCGACAAGAAGCAATCTGAAAGAAATTACCGTCGTCAGAATCATCGAGTGAAAGCGGAGGAATCTCGCGATCGAGCCTGGATTTCTGGCCGGTCGATAGCTCCAAGTGCTCCGCGCGCAAGTAATGGGCAGGGGGTAACAACTCGAGTAATCTGCCTACGCAATTTTACTGGATCAGCTCGAGGCAGCTCTTACTCTCGCTCTGCTTCGCCGCCTCTGCCTCTCCCTCGCCACGGCTTTGCACGTTTCATTTGCACGAACGCTCGTGGCGGCCCCGCGAGTTTGCGCCTGCAAAAGTCAGCGTGAAGTCGTAACGATCGGGTCGCCCTATAAGAGGGCTGGACACGCACGTTGTGACCGCGGGTTCTCCCATACGTATGCGCGTCGTACACAGTAAATCTCTTCGCGAAAAAGAAGAACCATCTCGATCGATTGTCAACGTCACAACGTAATGGTAAAATATTCTTCGGTTATATTCTCGCTTCTTTCGTTGCGATTGATAAAATTCACCTTTGAATGTTTCTGTTAATTGGTTGCGAAATTAACAGAAAAGGTAAAACTGCGTAAAAGGTAACACAACTCCGATTTTATCGCCGACTTAAATATGTTGTAGGGGAGATTCTTCTGAGTAGTTCCCCATAAGAAATAAGTGGGGGATGACATTAGTTTAGAAAATATAACAAATTGAACATTAAAGTATGTGTATGCTGTATAATTTATTTTTTCATTGAAAAAAACTGTTTATGACATTTATGCGTAGGCGGGGGAGGGGCAGAGCTCCCTGCATCTTCACCCTGAAAAAATTCTAACCTAACCCAAATCATTTTCAGTTTTAAAAGTAAAGTTGGGTTGGGTTAGGTTAGATTTTTTCGGGATAGGGATGCAGAGGGAGGAGCGAAGCCTCTCGCCCACGCATTCAATAAATAATATTTTTCAAGACAAGACTCACAAATTCGTGTAGTTCCATGTTGAAAGCTATTAACGAACTGCGAGAAATAGGTGGAACATATTATTGACAAAATATTCATGACCATGTACCTATCCCGTAAATGTAAACAAACACTTTTGCCATGTCTGCTCTACAACAAATACAACGTACACAAATTTTTCCTAATATTACTTTATAATAGCTGAGAAAAAGCATTAAAAATGTGAAACTTTAATTTGTCATATCTCCTAAACCAATGCTGTTCCCCACTTATTTCTTGCGGGGAATTATTTAGAAGGATCTCACCTATAACATATTAATGGCGATAAAATCAAAGGTGTGTTATCTTTTATACAGTTTTACCACAGAAAAAATTGGAAAAATCATCTTTCATTTATTCGCATGTAGAATGAACTAAAAGTGATCGATTCTGTATGAAATTGAGATTCCAAACTATCTATTATAATTAATGCTATAATATAAACATATATATTTGCATAGATAGATAGATAGATATACGAATAAAGACGCACAAAGTCACGCGCATATATACAATAGTAATAAACTCAACGAAATAGATGTAAGGAATGAGATATTCGTAAAACCACACGTGTCAAAATAAGGACTCATAATTTCCTCGAGGCAACCGCGTAAAAAACGCACACGCGCAGTCGAAAAACGTAAATAAAGCGAAATTCGTTGCTTTGCCACAATATTTTCGACGTGGTTCTTCACGAGCCATAAAATTTCTATGTATATATTAAAATCGTGGCTGAAAAGCACGACGCGTTATTAATAGCTGTAATATATAATACATACTATAATTAATAAAAAGTTTTCGCACCTTTTTGTGTTGTGTAAAAGTAATAAAAATATAGATATAAAATTCTGGCTAATTGAAGTAAAACCATAAGCTCTCGCAATTAATTCAACAAGTGTACAAGTAAAAAAAATCTTTTATATTACATATATGCGTTTTTTCTCAAATATAAATATAAATCTTCATATATCACATGACATTTGACGACAAATAACTGACAAATTTTACTTATCTTATCATAAAGTTTACCTGCATTTTTTCGAGGTGTTAAATAGTCTTTAATTCGACTGTACAATATATGTTTGATTTATAATATTGTTGCTAATCACTAATAAAACGTCTAGGAAAGTTTTCGATTATATTATTTTATTTTAGCGAAGGCATGTAATAAAGGTATAAAAATATTCGTTGCAATCTATGTAATAGTAGTTATATACTGCAAAATTTTAATAAATACGACAGAAGCAGATGTGATGACGATAGTTTCACGAGCGAGTTAATTCGCTTCTTTCTCTTGTGCAGTGAAGACGCAAGGTGGAACCTGTCGCTAACGAACCGGTAAGACAACGACGCAACCGTAACACGCATAAAGTCCAAGGGAAACGAAGAATCGTAAAGTTTCCAACGGGCAGAGACATTAAAATCAAGGAACCGTACAATAACGCAAGGATAATGATCGCCCTGCGGCCGAGTGTGCCGCTGAAAAATAACTCGCACAACCGCCGTCGTATTAGTTCTCGTATCGCACGGTTCGAATTCGTTAAGCGCGATTTATGCCATCAGAGATACATATCGTTATTAAAAAGTAGCGATAGAGTAAAAAACTACAATAAAAAATTACAATTTAATATGCAATTTGAGTTACCGAAGCAAGTCAGCAATGCCTTTTCTATATCATAAATCAAAACGTAACATAGTCGAAAACAGAAATAATTTAAATAATATGATATATTATACAGGGTGTCCCCAACTTAAATGTCAAAACTTTAGGAGCGTGTAAAATCTTTAGAGATTTGCTCGTTTTTGCTTCGTTTTGAAGAAAATCGCAAAAAATGAAACAAATAATTTTCACCAAGAAACTTAAAGCAACACTCGTGTTATTAGATTTATCAAAAAGTATTATAAAATAAAAATTGTAGAACATGGAATAAAGAAAAGAGAGCGAGTTAAAATCCTCCTGAGGTAAAATTAGAGGATTGTAAATAAATACGCGACAACGCGAAATTTTGTGTCTAATCTAATTTTACCTCAGGAGGATTTTAACTCACTCTCTTTTCTTAATTCCATATTCTACAATTTTTATTTTATAATACTTCTTGATAAATCTAATAATTTTAGTGTTGTTTTAAGTTTTTTAATGAAAATTATTTGTTTCATTTTTTGCAATTTTCTTCAAAACGAAGCAAAAACGAGCAAATCTCTAAAGATTTTACACGCTCCTAAAGTTTTGACATTTAAATTGGGGACACCC